GCCCCTGGCAAGAGCAAACTTTTGTAATGGCGTGAAGGGGTGTCAGCACAAGAGCTGTTGAATGCTGCTGGAGATCGCAGGCTTTGATGTGGTATGATCGCCAACGCCAGCCGGCAAGGCACTTGGTGGTGGTGGTAGGGATGATTGCGATGATAATGATGTGCAAATTGAGTGCATTATGATATCGCACCAATTATATGTGTTCATGTATGTATTGTTGTATCCATATGTGCAATATGTATGTATTGTTGAATCCATATGTGCAATATGTATGTATTGTTGTATCTATATATACAATATGTATGTATTGTTGTATCCATATGTACAATATGTATGTATTGTTGAATCCATATGTGCAATATGTATGTATTGTTGAATCCATATGTGCAATATGTATGTATTGTTGTATCCATATGTACAATATGTATGTATTGTTGTATCCATATGTACAATATGTATGTATTGTTGAATCCATATGTGCAATATGTATGTATTGTTGAATCCATATGTGCAATATGTATGTATTGTTGTATCCATATGTGCAATATGTATGTATTGTTGTATCCATATGTACAATATGTATGTATTGTTGAATCCATATGTGCAATATGTATGTATTGTTGTATCCATATGTGCAATATGTATGTATTGTTTTATCTATTTGTGCAATATGTATGTATTGTTGAATCCATATGTACAATATGTATGTATTGTTGAATCCATATGTACAATATGTATGTATTGTTGAATCCATATGTGCAATATGTATGTATTGTTGAATCCATATGTGCAATATGTATGTATTGTTGAATCCATATGTGCAATATGTATGTATTGTTGAATCCATATGTTCAATATGTATGTATTGTTGAATCCATATGTGCAATATGTATGTATTGTTGAATCCATATGTGCAATATGTATGTATTGTTGTATCCATATGTGCAATATGTATGTATTGTTGTATCCCTATGTGCAATATGTATGTATTGTTGAATCTATATGTGCAATATGTATGTATTGTTGTATCCATATGTTTAATATGTATGTATTGTTGTATCCCTATGTGCAATATGTATGTATTGTTGAATCTATATGTGCAATATGTATGTATTGTTGTATCCATATGTTTAATATGTATGTATTGTTGTATCCCTATGTGCAATATGTATGTATTGTTGAATCCATATGTGCAATATGTATGTATTGTTGTATCCATATGTGCAATATGTATGTATTGTTGTATCCATATGTGCAATATGTATGTATTGTTATATCCATATGTACAATATGTATGTATTGTTGTATCCAAATGTGCAATATGTATGTATTGTTTTATCCATATGTGCAATATGTATGTATTGTTGAATCCATATGTGCAATATGTATGTATTGTTGTATCCAAATGTGCAATATGTATGTATTGTTGTATCCATCTGTACAATATGTATGTATTGTTGTATCGATAATTGCAATATGTATGTATTGTTGTATCCATATGTGCAATATGTATGTATTGTTGTATCCATATGTGCAGTGTATTTCATGTTCAATCATCTTTACCCACAGAGCTGCAGGTTAAAGTGGGTTCGCAGCTTATAATAGGTTCGCAGGTTACACTAGGTTGGCAGGTTACACCAGGTTGGCAGGTTACACTGGGTTGGCAGGTTACACTAGGTTCGCAGGCTACACTAGGTTGGCAGGTTACACTAGGTTGGCGGGTTACACCAGGTTGGCAGGTTACACTAGGTTGGCAGGCTACACTAGGTTAGCAGGTTACACCAGGTTGGCAGGTTACACTAGGTTGGCAGGCTACACTAGGTTAGCAGGTTACACCAGGTTGGCAGGTTACACTAGGTTGGCAGGTTACACTAGGTTGGCAGGTTACACTAGGTTGGCAGGCTACACTAGGTTCGCAGGCTACATCAGGTGGCAGGTTACACTAGGTTTGCAGGTTACACTAGGTTGGCAGGTTACACTAGGTTGGCAGGTTACACTAGGTTGGCAGGTTACACTAGGTTGGCAGGTTACACTAGGTTGGCAGGCTACACTAGGTTGGCAGGCTACATCAGGTGGCAGGTTACACTAGGTTCGCAGGCTACACTAGGTTGGCAGGTTACACTAGGTTGGCAGGCTACACTAGGTTGGCAGGTTACACTAGGTTGGCAGGTTACACTAGGTTGGCAGGTTACACTAGGTTGGCAGGTTACACTAGGTTGGCAGGTTACACTGGGTTAATCTGGCCGTTATTGGTGTCCCAATTATATTAATGAGAGGTTGAACGGGGTGTCTAGGATTTACCATATTGGTTTGTCAACCAGACTGAGATTTTGTTAGTGAAATGGTTGCAGCAAGTTGAGGTCGAATGAGAGAGAGAGAGAGAGAGAGAGAGAGAGAGAGAGAGAGAGAGAGAGAGAGAGAGAGTGAGAGAGAGAGAGAGAGAGAGAGAGAGAGAGAGAGAGAGAGTTTATAAACTGTGTACACGAAGGAGTTGACTAGCCGTAGACCAGATTTATTCAGCCGAGTTTACTTAGTGGGTAAAATGTGGAAAATGGGAGTCGTCACGGGCCAGAGACCTATGCCCCAGCATAGAAAGATAGCTAATACGATATAATTGGCGATAATGCGTGGGCCATCTGCTAGACCTCCGCTAACCAGATTTGGTCTGCGGGCCGCCAGTTGAATAGACCAAGAAGACGATGGAGAGATAATATCTAGACAGACCAATAAACACATGCAGTCACCAATTGGAAAAAGAAGGCCAACCAAGGAGAGGAATGGAAGTGAGTGATACCTGCAGAAGTAACCTCAAGGGCTCGGAATGCTGAAGAAGATGAAGATGGGTATCAAACCTCCAAATATCATGAAAAGATACAGAAGCGAACGAAAAGTAGATTAGCGAGCTTCACAATATAACAAACACAAACGAAACGTGCGGCTATAAAGCCTTTATCAGCACATACATTTAAATAAAAACTACACGAATGCACGAACTCACTTAACCGACATATCCAGAATCAGCCACCCTGCTGTCTTGCCAGTGGAATGAAAAGACACACCGTGCCCGGGATTAAACAACCCTGAAATGCCAAGGGCTGTAACTCGATAATTTTTATATGAAGCAGTGTCGACAGTTTAGTCCCCTGGGTGTGAAAGTTCCTAAAGTGCAAATAAAACGATTTTCAAGAGATTTGCGGACTCTGTCACTGAAGTGGCTAGAATGTCACTGAAGTGGCTAGATTGAATAGCTGTCACCTCCATGTCGTGGATACCTTGGTGGTCCTGACAGTTGAAGTGCAACGATACTGGTTTGAGGCCATCGTTCTGCACGTCCAAAAGATGTTTCCTGAACCTGTTGTAGACCAGTTTCGCCGATGTATTTCATGCACCACCTCTTGCAGTTGATGGCGTTAATGACATTACGGCAGATATGAGTTGATGGCGTAAATGAGTTCTGTGGGACAAGAGCAAGTTGACAAGATCTGTCTGCCTGGGTTGTTACGTTGATGTATCTTAGGAAGCTTATAGAGGCTGGGCTTTCCCAGACAACTTTCCTCGACAAAGAGTAGCCCGGGCAGGTATAAGATCTTCCTTGACATGGGTTGTGATGGTGCTTTGAATTACTGTGTTGTTTCTCACCGTACCGTCCTGTGTCTTCACCAAGCCTTGTAGTAGCAGTACAGGAAGGGGTGGGGCCGTAAATTATGGGGGGGGGGATGTGGAGTGTGTGGGTATTGTTATATAGAATGATGTATCTGTGTGCATTCATGTTTGTATCTATATGTATTATTACTGATTTCCGAATCAACATCAAAGTACACCGAGCATACCCGTAGGTGCTCTGTCTCCCGCTGCAAATGTCTTAAGGTGCTGATGCTAACTGTTCCCGTAGCACACATCGTTTACTTCCTCTCATTTGTCCGTCCTTGTTGGGTCCACTCCCAATTCCCAGTTCAGACATTCTTACACACGTCATTTCCTGTCATCTGGTGTCTTCTATTCGCAGTTTATTGTGTATAGTATGTGTCTACATGTATTTTTTGGTCTTTAGTTTAGTTTTTATGTATAATTTTTCACGTCTATATGCACTTGTATACATACAGCAGACAAAAAGGCAAACAGACAGAGAAGACAGACTGACAGACAGACAGATATTGATTTTTTATGTGACATTGTTCACTTTGTTTCTTTCACAGAAAGACACCAACGCTGCAAGAGAAACCACACTGTTCCTTCTCCGTTAGGTCAAGACAATTGCTACGTTACTTTGCACACTTTGCACCAAGAACTATACGTGTTTGCGCCAATAACTACATGAGTTTCTACCAATAAGTACTCAATTTTGCACCAATTACTACTTGACTTTGAATTAAGAAGGTTTGTGCCAAGAACTACATAACATTCAAAGAAGAGCTACACATTCTTGCACCAAAAACTAGAGGAGTTTGCAGTAAAAACTACACGACTTTGTAAGAAGAACTACTTTACATTTCATGAAGAACCATCATTTTGCAGAAAAAAATCACACGAGGTTTGCAACCAGAACTACAGGAGGTTTGCACTAAGAGAGGCTGGCACAAAAGGGAAACACGAGTTTGCTATTTAAAAAAAAAAAAAACTGCCTGACCAGGAAAATAATCGTCAGCGCATGAAAGGATTCGTTGTCCTTATATTTCCACACTCACCATAAACAGTCTGGTCCAAAAGAATGATGATCTGCCCTTGCTAACTCCCAAACCACGTAGATATTTATGAGTGTGGCTGTCATTCTTCTTTGTGATGCCGACACGTACGGCAATATGACTGTTTCATTTCCAAATTTTGTCTGACTCCAAGTGAATAAATACAGAACTCAAAACGCTTGGTTAAATATTTAGATATTGTCTGAAAACCTGCTTTCCGACATAAATCTCTTCAAGCCAATTTGGTCAGTAGTTAACGTTTGATTTCTGTCTCTTCGAACTGTCAAATAGCCCTAAAGTGAGCTATCAGTATCCACAATGGGGGATCTAAAAGGTCATCTTTTGCCCGGAAGCTTGTTCATTGTCTATGGACTCTGGTGGGCAATTGGAGCCATCAAGCGGTTCCTTGTATGTCGGAAGACAGGGACCAGATACATCTCCACTGCGACATTTCCTTGCCCCTGGTCGTGTGGCAGAGTTGGTTCGTGGCCGATTGAGGCCATCATCAAGATTATTTTGTCATCGTTTGGGATGTTCGCAGAAATTACCTTCAATCTTCCACATCCCAACATGGGCATTGGTAAGTCTCAGTTTTCAATGTGTTCTTTTTAAAACTAGTATTTACATGATTAGTTGGTTATAACTGTAAATATTGTTACGTAAATTTGTCTAATTAACATGCTTGGGACCGCTTATCCTAGCGCTCTTCTCTTTATCGAGGAGCTGTGGCTCATAAAGCTGCTAGAACTGCAGCAACAGTTAAGAAAAGGCAAGCCAGGAAGCACTGAAGCAAATCACAAGAGAGATGCGGAGTCAGTTCCCTGACCTAACTGCTCAAGAACTTTCTGTGCTATAATTGGCTTTACCGGCCCCATCTGCGCACCCACAAACCTAACCCAGTCACCGGTGGGTGAAAGGGCTGGTAATAATCACCTAAGATGGACGAACAACACCAAAAACACTATCTTATGCAAGACGTTTGTGAGAATCAAGTGATGATTGGGAATTTCTAACTATGGCCAGATCGTAAGAACAGAATGTAGTAAAAGGCGCGTGGCCAGACAAAAGCACTAAAATGGAAGCCAAAGATAAGATATCAACTCAGAGCTGGTGCCGTCAGCCGCAACACGCTGCCAGATTTAATTAGGACATGATCCAAGCACTTATATGCTAAATGGTTCGATTTGCACTGAGGATAATCTGTCGACTAACTAACTGACTATCTTATCACAGTCAACGTCACTGCACATTGGACATTCCTGTGGGTGCTCGGTCCTTCAATGCAACAGCCACTCAAAAGTACCCCCAATGATTTTGACTACGATAAGCTGAGGTGGGCTGTGTTGGTATTATGTTTCTAGGACCTCCATCCCCCTCTCTCCCCTCCTTCCCCTTCTCCCATGAAAAAGTGTCGCAACAGTGTACTACACTGAATACATTCACGTTTGTTTCACCGCATCTCATTCTATTCTTCATTTTCTAAGCCATTCTGTTTTGCCTAGAAAGAAGACACAGTTAAATATTTCACATACCCAGATACCATAATTTTGGTGCTAACCTTACATTTATCATCATCAAGTGCCTAGTCGACTAGTATAGACGATCTCCAACACTCTGTATCCTTGTGTGAGCTGACAACCTTCCATGACGTTTTACATGGCTACCACAACTATTCTCTCTGTCTCTCTCTGTCTCTGTCTCTCTCTCCTCTCTCTCTCTCTCTCTCTCTCTCTCTCTCTCTCTCTCTCTCTCTCTCTCTCTCTCGCTCACTCTCCATGTGTGTATACAAATTACAAGCCTTGATATTTACTGTACATTTTGGCAAGAGCCGTGTCTTACCATTGCTCCTAATACTTCAAACTGGGACTCTTTAACCTCCCTGCAACTATCGCAACGATGAGTTTCTGCTTCACTCCCCCCCCCCCCCCCCACCCCTTCCCAACTTGCTGCTGTCAAGACCAAGCCGTCAAAGGTTGATATGAAGAATTCAGACTACAGTTTCTAGTAAGTTTAATGTACGTCTCATGTCATGATCATATTTTGAAGAATAACATGGAACGCCACGGCTGTGTGGCTGTTTTCTCCTGATATTTTAGTGGGACATCTTGTCTTACATCTGTACATGGATGATGTCTGTATGTCAGGTAGGTTTTGGTTGTTTAACAGTTGTCGGATGATACTAGCCTTATCAAAGGAAGAGGACAAAGGCAGGCTGAACATTCTATGTTATGGCAAGTCGTAATAAACCCTGGACCGTGGTCAGCAGGTGGTCTAGAATGGCAGCTCTGAGAATAGGACCAAGCACTGTTATAAGATCTGGCAGCTCTGAGAATAGGACCAAGCACTGTTATAAGATCTGGCAGCTCTGAGAATAGGACCAAGCACTGTTATAAGATCTGGCAGCTCTGAGAATAGGACCAAGCACTGTTATAAGATCTGGCAGCTCTGAGAATAGGACAAAGCACTGTTATAAGATCTGGCAGCTCTGAGAATAGGACCAAGCACTGTTATAAGATCTGGCAGCTCTGAGAATAGGACCAAGCACTGTTATAAGATCTGGCAGCTTCTGCAGCTTGCTTGGTTTCCAGCGTATCGGAATTACATTCCCGGTGTTACAAAAAAGCTCCACGGCGAGGAGTTTACCGATCATCACTAAAAGGGTCCCTCGTCGACAATTGTTTTGGTCTATTCCTGTGCAGTAAACAAGGCAGGCATAGTGAGGGATCATGCAGCATGAGCTACACATGGTGTTTATTATACCTTCTATTGATGCCAGTGATAACGACCCCGCCAGTCCCCGGAACGAGATTTCTGCCATACCACCGGACTGGATATGTACATTCGGGAGAAGTTTCACGGGGGAGTTTGGTCTGAAAACGCATACTGGAAAGATGAAATGTGAGTGTGCGCCACGTAGTAAGTGCTGACGCAAAGCTACTCCTGTAGCTAATGAGTCGTCAGGGAAATACGGGCAGGGGGATTCCCCACTCACCCGGATATGCCCAAGACGTCTATCACAGAGGCGCACTAAAGCGGTTCTCTGACAACATGCGGACGAAGAGCAAGTTTCCACCCGCAAGCGATAGGATGTCGTAGTGCAAGCCGGAGGTTATTATATGTCAGAAAATTAAGTGCTGACTTAGGAAAAAGTCGCTAGGTGACAAGCTAACACGGTTTAGTGACATAATCTACAAGCACTCTGCCCGCGGGTTCGCGACATTCGAGAAGACGCAGCGGGCATCACGCACGAAAAAGCAGCAGGCAGAGAGACATTAAAAAGGGCCGAACGGACAAGAATGCACTCAGAAAATTGGTTTAAAGCGGCTACAGGCAGCGAACGGGAGGGGCTGTACGAGGTCTAGCTATACCTGAAGAGCAGACACAGGGCCTTCTGCCGCGCTGAGTGTTTCAGAAAGAAAAGACTAAGAACTAAAGGGATGCGAGATAAGTTTTTTTAGAGACCCGTTCCAGTGTGCCCAAGTCTGGGACTCTGGTTGCATGTAAAAATAAACTAGTTTGGCATCTACTGAAAATGTACTCCGAATGTACGAGAATCTATCGATGACAAACTAAAGGCCTAAAGCGGTCTGAGTTGCCGAAGGCAAAGTTTTAAAAGATGCCTCGCTCTGGGTCAGAGGTCGAAGAAGTTGTGAAAAGAGCCAGCGGCAAATCTGCCCGAAGACCCAACGGCGTCCCGTACATGGTGTACAAACACTGTCCGAAAGTCCTCCGAGTGCTTCACCGCTTGCTGTCTTACTGTGTTCGTAAATTGTTGCTGTGATTGTTATTCGACATTTGCTTCGTTAATATAAATTTATGTAACCTATGGTGCCATTTCAATGGGTTGAAATGAATTCTGTCTGTATTCCATAGTCGTGGATTTCAAGCTGTACGATAGACATGGCCAATCAGACACCTTTTTTTGGGGGTGCCTAGTTGACCATGTATCTTAGTGCACTTGTATTCATGGCGAGGCGCAGACGCCGTCTGGAGGTGACAGGTTCAATTCAATTCTATCTTTCTACTTCTTTCTATGAGTGCCGATCAATACACTTTCTGTTACTCGATTAATTGCTAAGGCAAGCGTGGAGCCAAAAGTACATATGTACCCAAGGAACGAGAATCCTCAAGTCTATGCCAATGCAGACCTATCTCGTTCTTGAACGTTGAGGGCAAGATATTCTTCTCGGTAATGGCTCGCAGACTCACACGGTATTTCATGGAGAACAAATACATTGACACAACGGGTGTCTCGAGCATGCGACCATGATCTAGAAGAGTATCCGGAGAGCTAAGGTAGAGAAAACCGAATTCCGTACCCCATAGGCTACAAACCCTTCGCATGTTCCACGTACCGACACACATCACCGAAATGATCGAGCAATATATCTCAAAATTCGCTATACGCTTCTCTACACCCACGTATACTACGAGGTGGACTGAGCTCCAGGTTGGGATAGCAATGGGATGTACGATTTCGCCAATACTGTTTATTATGGTCATGCAAGTCATGCTCTTATAACAGCTGCTCGTGTACGAGGTAAGCATGACTGCAGTGGAGACTATGGAAGGGGGTGGGGGGAGGGTCAACACCGCCATGAGGAGGATTGGAGCACCACCTTGTCTGACCGATGTGGCTTTATATTGCTAGCAGGCTGAGCTGTACTTTCGTTTAAATCAATAACCGAAGAGTTTAAAGTCGGCAAGATAAGACTCGCGATGATGTTGCGCGAGTCTTCAGACTTCAGAGTGGCAGCTGTTCAGACCGCTCTAAAGACAGGTACGAAATGGAAGGTCCGAGATGCGATAAAATCTGCTCAGAAAACTCTGAAATTGAAGGAAGTCATAGGTTATAAACTAACCGACCGACGCGGCTTAGGCATGGAAAAGTCACTTGGTGGTCCAAAGCCTCTGCCAACGAACGCAGATCACATGGTAATACAGCAGATACGGGACACCGAAAACGAGACTCGGGTCAAAAAAGCAGCACAATAGTCGGAGCACGGCCAGTGGTTCGGTCTTGAGAGCGCCTTGTCACGAATACTCACACGGGGTGAGATCTGGCGAATGGTCACTTAGGGTGGCCTCTTGGTTTCTCTTCAGATCTTTTCATGCATATCGCCAGCGTTGGTACTTGTTTTGCTGCATGCTTACTAACTAACCAAACCATTTCTTCTGTTTCTCGGTGAGTTTGTTGCATGGTGTTGTTCCCACAGTCTGTCTAGTGATATAATTTCCAAGTTTGGGATGGTTAAGTTGGCGGTTTTTTTCAGGCATTCAATTTCGCAGATGTTAATTTTACGTAGGCTAGCCTTTGATAATATCCAAGTCTGGTACTGGTAGCACAGTGTTGATATGAATATGATGTTTATAATCTGTTTCTTGGCGCTAATATTGGATTGGATGTCTTATACTTGTTTGGATGTCTTAATAACGGTGACAGTTGGTATATAAGTCCACTGGCTAGTTGGAATCTTGTTTCTGCTTCCCGATCTGTTGTCCCGTTCTCTAAGAATATAGTTGCTAGATATTTAAATTCTTTACCTTGCTTCAGAACGATGTCTGATAACGTATTGAAATGTGCGTGCAAACAGTTAGGCTATTGAATAAACATATTAACAAGCTCAATATAATATTTGTGTTTTGCTCCGCAGTTCAGCACGCAACCATGTACTTCTTCTTCATGGTATCCGGTGTTGTTGACTTGCTTATACATTTTGGAGTGCCTCTGCCGCCTGGCACCGACTACATCTCAGTAGCCCTGGCTTTCATGGTGGAGGGACTGCTGTTTGCTAACCACTTGCACGAAAGAGAAGTCCTGGATGTTAAGATTCACCTCTTGCTGGTCTACGTTGTGTTTGTGACTGTGGTCGTGGTGCTATTGGAGGCAAGGTAGGTCCTTGAAAAGTGAAGTGACGTGACCTGACATGACGTGACCTGACATGACGTGACACGCCGTGACCTGACATGGCGTGAACTTCATGTCGTGACCTGACATGACGTGATCTGACATCACGTGACCTGACATGAAGTTACAACGCAAAGCATACCGGGACAGTACTAAGCAGGACAGGATAAGCCAGGACATGACATGACAGGACAGAGCAGAACAAGACAGGACATGACAAAGCAGGTCAGGGCAGAGCAGGACAGGAAAGGGCAGGACACGATAGAGCAGGGCAAGGCAGAACAAAACAAGACAGGACTTGACAAATCATGTCAGGACAAAGCAGGGCAAGACAGAGCAGGACAGGATAGAGCAGGTCAAGGCAGAACAAAACAAGACAGGGCGTGACAAAGCAGGTCATGACAGAGCAGGGCAGGACAGAGCAGGTCAGGACATGAAAAGGCAGGACAGTACATAACAGAGCAGAACAATACAGGACATGACAAAATGGTCAGGACAGGGCAGGACATGAAAGGGCAGGACAGGACAGAGCAGGACATGAAAGGGCAGGACATGAAAGGGCAGGGACAGGGCAGGAAAGGAATGAAAATGAAAAGAAAAAAATGGGCCGGACGTGACAGAAGAGGACAGCACAGGAAAGGACAGGGCAGGACAGGACAGGACAGGAAAGGACAGAGTAGGGCGGGACAGGAAAGGACAGAGTAGGGCGGGACAGGAAAGGACAGACAGGGCAGGAAAAAAGAACATGACAGGGACAGCACCAGGGCAGGACAGGACAGTGACAGGAAAGACAGGGTTCTCTCGAAAGGACAGGGTATGACAGGGTCCTTCTCTCGCCAGTGACGAACTGCGTGTTTGGTACTAGAGCTACAGTTTTACTTTTCAATCGCACACTGTTGATGATGTGACGAACATCACGCTAGGCGATTTTACCACCCAGAACCTTTCCTCGCACTCATGTTAGGCTGGATTGTCTTATAGCCTAGACCATTTATAAAATGTTGCGTCTATCGGACTTAAACCCAAGACTTTCGTGCCGACAGACACACATTGAGCCACAGTGCCACTGGTGATTCCACAAGTATCCTGACAATGTTCACAATGTATATCTCGACATTTCCTTTATGTTCTGGTCCGGCACATACACGCGAGGGAGCAGCTGTGGTGTCGCTGCTAGATGATCGCCTGCAGGTCCAAAGGTTCCTTTTAGTTTTCTATTTCCGGTGGAGAAAGGATATTCACAGGAGTCATGCCTAAACAAATCCAAGAAATCAAGGACTTTCTGCTCACAGCCAGAAGAAAGGATGCAAAATCTGTCAAGATCAAGAAGAACAAAGACAATGTCAAATTCAAGGTGCGATGCAGCAGATACCTCTACACCCTGGTCATCCAGGACCAAGAGAAGGCAGAGAAGCTGAGACAGTCATTGCCACCAGGTCTGGCAGTCAAAGAGCTTCAGTGAAATTTTTAAAAGAAGAAATCATTAAAAAAAAAAAAAAAAAAAGTTCAAATTCTTATGGTGGGTGACTTTTTTCAAACATGACCCTTGGTTTTCAGGTCGACCCCGCCTTAAATGGGTACCAGGTAAAAGTCTGGGAAGTAAAGGCGACTGGCCTAATGTCGACCACATCCCCCCCTCCTCCCCCCTCTCCTCCTCCCCCCCCCCCCCCCCCTCAGTGCCAGTCGATCTATACAATATACGTGGTAGTGGGTCCTTTTTGCTTGCGCTTCTACCTGACCTGGCACCGTGTTGTTATTTACTTTACAATTATTTTAATACACTGCTATTGTGTTGACTGCATCAAATCTCAGCCTGTCAAATCCCATATTCTCTACGCTGTAGTAGGTATGCCATAAACTCTGTAATGAGTTCTCTAAGATCTGCGAGAATCTTCTTTGAGCTCTGTGTAAACTCCCATGTAAGCTCTTTAGTGGTTTTCAAGCTCTTGTGATTTCCTGGAACAAGTTGTGTGATTATAACTGGACAACTTTTCACAGGCAATGCGGCTTCGATGGCTTACTGGCTAGTGCGTCTGCCAAGACAGTTGCTCCGGTTCTGCTCCCAGTAATTGGCGGGATTTCTTTTACTTCGTGTTCCATTATGGGTTGGCTCTCCCGCGCTTTATCTATTTTGTTTATTTCCTTCGTCATTTTTCCTAACTTTCCGTTCTTTATGTTTCGTTTTGTAAAAGTCAATCTCTGGTAACTGCTTGCGGTATCGATGTAAAGTGTAAAGGGGGTAACTACTTGCGGTATCGATGTGAAGTGTAAATGGGGAAACTAATTGCTGTATCGATGTGATGTGTAAAGGGGGTAACTACTTGCTGTATCGATGTAAAGTGTAAAGGGGGTAACTCTCGCGGTATCGATGTGAAGTGTAAAGGGGGTAACTCTCGCGGTATCGATGTGAAGTGTAAAGGGGGTAACTCTCGCGGTATCGATGTAAAGTGTAAAGGGGGTAACTCTCGCGGTATCGATGTGAAGTGTAAAGGGGGTAACTAACTGTGGTATCAATGTGAAGTGTTAAGGAGGTAGCTACTTGCGGTATCGATGTAAAGTGTAAAGGGGGTAACTACTTGCGGTATCGATGTAAAGAGGTAAAGGGGGTAACTATTTGCGGTATCGATGTGAAGTTTAAAGGGGGTAACTAATTGCGGTATCGATGTGAAGTGTAAAAGAGGTAACTAATTGCGGTATCGATGTGAAGTGTAAAGGGGGTAACCACCTGCAGTTTAGATGTGAAGTGTAAAGGGGGTAACTATTTGCGGTATCGATGTAAAGTGTAAAGGGGGTAACTAATTGGGGTATCGATTTGAAGTGTAAAAGAGGTAACCACTTGCAGTATCGATGTGAAGTGTAAAGGAGTTAAATACTTGCGGTATCGATGTGAAGTGTAAAGGGGGTAACCACTTGCAGTATCGATGTGAAGTGTAAAGGAGTTAAATACTTGCGGTATCGATGTGAAGTGTAAAGGGGGTAACCACTTGCAGTATCGATGTGAAGTGTAAAGGGGGTAACCACTTGCAATATCGATGTGAAGTGTAAAGGGGGTAACCACTTGCAGTATCGATGTGAAGTGTAAAGGAGTTAAATACTTGCGGTATCGATGTGAAGTGTAAAGGGGGTAACCACTTGCAATATCGATGTGAAGTGTAAAGGGGGTAACCACTTGCAATATCGATGTGAAGTGTAAAGGGGGTAACCACTTGCAATATCGATGTGAAGTGTAAAGGGGGTAACCACTTGCGGTAACGATGTGAATTGTAAAGTGCTGAAAAGTGTCACTGACTGTGATACCTGTGCGGGAAAATCAAGAACTATGGTATTTATTTTGGCTATCATCTTCAATCCTATCAGGATAGCTGAGGTATTTTTGTCACCCAAAATGTCACGGTGCGGGGAGGGGGAGGGACGGGCGGCGACGTGAGAGCGCAGAAGTAATAAAGACGTCTTGAAAGAAACTGACTCACCAAGAGAACTGATCGCCCATATCAGAAAGAGACAATCTACATTTTTGGTCATGTGACGAGAAGGAGAATACTAAAGTACCTCGTGACAGTAGGAAAGTTGGAGAGGAGGAGAAGTACAGGGAGACCAAGAAAAAAATGATGCCGGACAGTTTGACATCATGGCATGAAAGATCATTTGGGTTAGAGCTGATTGAAAGTACACAAGACCGAAGGTTATGAAGTTTCACCACTGCCAAGAGATGCTCCTAATTTTTCAGCAAATTTGTATACTTTGTCTCTAAATTATTTATTGTATTTTTGTTCTTAATAATAATTCGTAAAGTGTGTCTGTACCATTTACATTCGAAAGCCTGAATCTTCCTTTCCATTTCCACAGTAAAAGTCCAACTCTCACATTTGTATGAGAAAATAGACAACACCAGTGATTTGTAAATATTGACCTTGACTGCGACGCTGATTTTGCTCTTCCACATCGTATTCAGCTGTGACATCGCGGCTGTTGCCATATCAAGTCTTGTCTTGATCTCTTTGGTACAACTGCTATCGGGGCATATGTGGGAGCATGTAGATCCAATCTCAGTCGAGTGTAGCTGTTACAGTAGTAGTTCTTTTTGAGTTTGAGTCTGAGTGTAATGAGAACCATATCGTAGTCGCTGCCAGTGGCAGCTCCCGGGCAAGTCCTTGTCTTAGCTAAAGATCTTCTTGCTGCTTCTTGTCGTCACTGCCAACAACATTGGGAGAAAAAAGGGGGGGGGGGGGGGAGGGTGGTGAATAATGACTTTTTTTTTATTTATCTATGCTCGTTTACAAATGTTTGATCTTCACCACGAAGTGATCAGATTCACTGCAAGTGTACAGTCAACCAATGCTGTCTGCGCGGCCCTGGTTGTTGACCACGTTTGGCCCCTGGTTCTCCTTAGAGGCTGGGATGCAGCGACTGGCAAGCTATTACTTCTACAATTCATTGGATCAATAGTCCACCTCATTCGCCCGTCACTGTATGCTCTTTTAAAGGGGATACATTCTTATTTTTCTTTCTCTCTCTCTCTCTCTCTCTCTCTCTCTCTCTCTCTCTCTCTCTCTCTCTCTCTCTCTCTCTCAGTGTGTGTTTGTGTGGTCGCGCGATTCTCCCTTCCTCTCAGAGTGTGTATGTGTGTATGTATGCGAGTAAATATATATATATATATATATATATATATATATATATATATATTATATATATATATATAGAGAGAGAGAGAGAGAGAGAGAGAGATAGAGAGAGGCCCGGCTCTCTAGCGAAGTTGGTTAAACCTGACTTTCGCGGCGACCGGGTGACGAACTCCTTGTGGTCCGGGTTCACTCTCGGGGGTAGGCAGAAAAGCCACATTTCTCCCAGATTAACGGTACCTATAATGGAATCAATGCCGAAGGGTTGCGATATCCATAGTACCGAGCCAAAGGGTTTACAACTCATGGTTTCTGGATACGTAATATATATATATATATATATATATATATATATATATATATATATATATATATATATAGAGAGAGAGGAGAGAGAGAGAGAGAGAGAGAGAGAGAGAGAGAGAAAGGAGAGGTGGAAGGAAGAGATAGATAGATAGATAGAAAGAGTTGGAGAGGGGAAAGGATAGTGAGACAATAGGAAAGCGGGAGTGGTGGAGGGAGGGAGGGATAGACAGACCAAATTCCGCCTTACAAAATATATTGATGGCAGTTGAGGTTGAGCTGATACACTTCACTCAGCTTAGCTGATCGATGAACTCCAATCCAATTAAAACACAATCTTCCTAAAATGCCACGTTTGTAAAATAATAATGCTAACCACAATAAAGCTTTGTTTCTCTTGATATCTATACTGTTGTTATCACCGTCATCATCATTATTACTGTTGCTGTCGCCTTTACTGCTGGTTCAGTAGTTTTTGCTGTTGCTGATGAAATCGATCCAGTGACGTCTGAGCTTCCACCTTTTAGCCCCATTATAAAGCCATTAGCGCTGTCCTTGTGGAAAAGTGTTCAAACCGTTTGGCAGGCTCTGAAGGTTAACGGTTCTGGTTTCTGCTTTCTTTCTCACTGGCGACCGGTGGGCTCGCCTGTAGACGACTTTGTCGTCGGTATTTGGGTTTGTCACCTTTGTTCGCATTAGCACTGCAGAAGTCCTTTTCAGGGTTCTTGGTGGCGCGCTTTGCTAATAGCTATTTTGTATGGCCCACATAACCTAGTCATATATATTACCTAAAGCTCCTCCTTCAGCGATGTTGGCTTAACGTGACGATCCACCGTCTTCCCCCCCCTCCCCCCCCCCTCCCCCCAACAGGCCATTGGTAGAAATCCCTGGGCTGCTTATTGCTGTCTTTGCTGAATGTATTTAGAGGTCCATGTGGTGAAGCGGTCAAGCCGGTTACGTTGCCCTCTGAAGGTCGCGGGTTCACTTCCTTAAATGTGTCATTGGGATCATGGGTGTAATTATTACGGAGACCCATGAAGATCGTCTTTACAGCAACAGTGCTCTATGAGCCACATGAGTTCAAACCCGATGCAATGAAATCGATTTTTTGGACCTTTAACTTACTGCCTGTATTTGCCATTTCCGAGTCCGTAGAAGACGGGATTTGGGGTGGGAGGTGTGTGAGTCTAGGGATTTGAGGTTGCTTGGCTAGTGCCACTAGCACTGACATGTAACCGCTGTAATCGACGCTTACACTTTCTATTGCCGAAGAAAAATGTAATGTTTTACTATTTATTATTGCAGTTGACTATTTATTATTTCAGTTGACTATTTATTATTGCTGTTGACTATTTATTATTGCTGTTGACTATTTATTATTGCTGTTGACTATTTATTATTTCAGTTGACTATTTATCATTGCTGTTGACTATTTATTATTGCTGTTGACTATTTATCATTGCTGTTGACTATTTATCATTGCTGTTGACTATTTATTATTGCTGTTGACTATTTATCATTGCTGTTGACTATTTATTATTGCTGTTGACTATTTATTATCGCTGTTGACTATTTATTACAAATGCTGTCCTCGGTTTACAGCTTGAACAAAGTGAACAGAAAGCTCGCTGCATGCTTACGGCACTCATACAGAAAATATATCGTTTGAGCACTACCATTGACTAGTAAGACGATTCTAGCTGTGCACGCATACTCTTAAAAGCAAAGCGACTAGTAGGATATTCACCTGTAACATTTTCAGGTGCTATCGCTAAAGCTTACACGTGCCAACTGATCACACAACTTGGTGGTGTGTTGATATATGACAAACTAGATATTGCGATGGCCCTTTGGGAGCGAGTGAACAGTGCGGAGGCACAGACAGATCATTACGGTCCAGGGGATCTAGCCAACGCTCAACACTCAAGGGAAAGACGAGACGGATATACAATCAGACAGCTACTGGTAACATCGGAATTGGAACTCTTCAGTTGCTGCTGAAAATGTGGATGGGCGCATATAGGATTGTCCTGGGTGCAATGATGTCGATTCCTAATTTAACATTCAAGGCTCAATATTCTGTCATATCAAGACCAGGCACACGGCAACGACCAGGAAACCACAGCAAGACTACCCCAGTGTTGTCTTGTGTGTCATCGTATGGTCTGCAGTTTACAAATATGTTACCAGTGCGGTTTTGGTCATTGTTTCATAGATTTCAACAGAGCAAGTGAATCCGCAGATGACTTCTAGCCTGGTATATAAGAATTTTGAACAATGTGCGTCGATCTTCTAGCGGAAAGTTCTGGTTTTTCATCTACTTCTGGACTATAAATAAACAGAGGGGGGAACCTTTGAGGCCGTTAAATATTATGAATTAATCAAGTAACAGAAAGTGCATTGATCGGCACTCATAGAAAGAAGTAGATAGATAGAAGAACATCTTTCTATAAGTGCCAATCAATACACTTTCTGTTACTTGATTAATTTTACTTCTGGACTGTAGTCTTGTTCCAGAACGTGAGTTTTACGTGCGCATCAGTTTTACAAATCTAGCTTATTTGTATGCCAACTGTTGGTTCCTTCCCACTCAGGCAGATGCACTCTGACTTCGAAGGAGATCCCTAAAAAGTTCGACTCTTACGACATGTTTGTCCCCATAACGAGGTCCCGGAACCAATACGAAGAATGCGTCACCCAATGCTTTCAACTGTATTACCCTTTTTTTTCAGTATCCTCATAGATATCTGAGGGAGTCACCGTGGTGTAGCGGTTAGACGCTCGTCTGCGGATCGGAAGGTCGTGGGTTCGGCTCCTAACGGAGGCGGACATTTTTCACAAATGACCTTGCTGCAAGCTCGACTCAGCCTCAACTGAGTACCAGGTACAGTCCTGGGAAGTAAAGGCGCTCGTTGTGATACTGACCATATCACCCCGCAAGTGCCGAGAGGTCTATCAAATATAGGTCTAGCCCAATATGCCCAAAACGTATGAAGACGTGGGAAAAGGCAGAAATCTGAAACTACATCTCTCGGATTTAAGCAGTATTTCTTGATTAACTTTGGTTTTTGTTTTCTTCAGAATTCAAAGATCGGCGCTGCTGATGTTAGCGCAGTCCTGCTTATGAAACTGTTTCTCTGTTGTATGAAATACCGTTTTGTTGTGTGTTTCAGAATTCAGAGGTCGGCGTTGCTGACGTTGGCGCGATCCTACCTGCTGATGCTTCAGGGCAGCTGGTTCTGGGGGGTAGGGATCATCCTGTACGGGCATGGAGACAAGAATCTGGCGTGGAAGCTAGACAGCGCCATGGATGCTATGCAAGCAACGATATACTTCAGGTAAACGACGTGTTACATACAGAGAGTAAATTAAGCACACGATCACATAGTCTTTCTTAGGAAAACTCGTTTTAATGTTTTCGTATTGAGTCTATAAAAAGAACACAGTATCTTGGAGACATGACACGCGAAGCAGTAGAACCTGCTTATGTAATAATGCAGAAAATACAAAGCTTGGGATATGAAGCTGTAACATTTAGACTTTGCAGATGAGATCTTTGTCATCAACCAAAGTAAAACAAAAACAAAAACAACTGCAACACAAGACAGATGAGATCACAAAAATAGCAAGCTAACAGACAGGGTTAAGAATCAATGTCAATAAAACAAAACTGCTGGAGATAAACCCCAAAAGCGAAAGACTTACAGTAATAGATAATGTAGGTTTGGAAACAGTAACGGACTTTACTTACCTGGGAAGCAAAATCTCCTCGGATGGAAATGTAGTGGTTGAAATCAAGCAGAGAATAGCAAAGGCAAATGCTGCTTACAACAGACTTCAGAGTGTCTGGAGATCAAACATCTACAGCACTAAAACTAAACTCAGGATATACAAAACATGCGTTAGGAAAGTTCTCCTTTATGGAGCAGAAAGTTGGAAAAACAGACAGAAAGATAGAGAGCATGCTCAGAGATTTTAAGGGAAGACTTCTCAGAAGAATGTTGGGGTTCACATGGGAAGATAAAATCAACAACTCTAGATCACAACAAATGACAGACTTGGAAGATGTCAATTTAAAAATCAAAAAACGAAGACGGAGGTGGATTGGACACGTCCTCTGAATGAGGAAAGAGAGACGATCGAGACAGGCAATGCATTGGTCACTACAAGGACAGCAAGACAGAGGTACGCCCATAGGCACTTTGAGGCTTAAGGCAACGGGAGGGGAGAAACTGTAGATAAAGTTTATGGCTCAGGATCCAATTGAGTGGCGATACTTTGTCTTAGCTTTATTTGCTTCTGGACACGACGAGGCTTGATTTACTGAGCAGCAGTTGAAGAAGATGAAAAAAGAAGAAATAAGAAGAACAATAACAAGAAGAAGATCAAGAGGAAGAAGGAGGAGGGGGAGGAGGAGGAGAAGAAGAAGAAGAAAAAGAAAAAGAAGAAGAAGAAGAAAATAAAATGAATTTGATTGATTGAGCAGCAGTTGAAGAAGAAGAAGAAGAAGAAGAGAGAAGAAGAAGAAGAAGAAGAAGAAGAAGAAGAAGAAGAAGAAGAAGAAGAAGAAGAAGAAGAAGAAGAAGAAGAAGAAGAAGAAGAAGAAGAAGAAGAAGAAGAAGAAGAAGAAGAAGAAGAAGAAACATAAACGGTTTGTTATTTTTTTTAACCTGTATTCGTCATACTTATTCTCATCTTCAAAAGCACTATTTTTTGTATTATCAATGTTGTCAGTATCTTTGAAGTGGTGCTGGTCGTGGTGGAGGTGGTAGTTGTAATGGTAGCAGTAGTTGTAATAGTAGCATTAGTAGCAGCAGCCGTTACCTTCGTGTTGATGGTGTTATAGTAGAAGCTACAGTAATACATTTCTGCATATGTTTCAGCTGGCACTGTGCGGCACACTTCGTGCTTCTGGTTCTCATGGTAATCATTATGTCCCGGTGTTATCGAGTGCAGAGAGATCCCTTCAGAAACGGATCCGAACTTCCGCTAGCCGACCTCAGCAGCGAAGACAAGCAAGACGGCTACCGTGCATTGACCATTCAAGAAGACGATAGCGATATTGAATTTGAAAGACCAGCGGAGAAAGCACTTTTGCCCTCATGATGACGTCTTCAATGGCCGTTTTTTCTTGAAAGCCATTTCTTTATTCAACGTAGACTCTCTTCCCTGTTCTGTTTGCACTGTTATATCAGACACGCTTTGTATTGTAAAACAATTACTGTTAATTAATTACAAATATGATTCCTTTAAAGTGCCATCTCTGCAATGGAAGTTGGGTTTAGTGGTTAGGTCAGCCACATCTGTGATTGTGTATGTGAAGTGCTGAAGCTCCAGTCTCCTGTATGGTTTAGCTGGAAGCCATGTGAGTGGTCTTGAAATCAAACCTGGTAGGTGGAAGACTGAGAAGGCGTTCTCTGCCCTCAAAGCCACTGAGAGACATTCTCACTTAGCCACTTCATCCTCAACAGGAGCAGGCGGGTCAAACTGCATGTGTCACCGTTAACAGCTAACGAATACACTTGAGATGGTATTATGGGATGTATTCCTACTCGTCAGTTCGTGTTTACAATATGCCTGCGCAGCTGACATTGTAAGCATTAGTAACTGGTAGCTTTCACACGTTGCAGACAGTGTCTGACACAGTGATGTAAGCATGCGTCCTCTTTGCTATGGTCAAGACATAAATGGAGTGGCGTATGTGCAATAAATAACGAATATCAAGTTAGTAAAGCATCGGATTGGTTAGAGGAGCAAAAGGGGTTGTGGCAGGGGTACATTCTTTCATCATAGCTGTTCGATATATAAGCAGAAAACATAATGAGAAATGTCAAAAATGACCAGACTTGTGACAGTTATGAATTGCTCATAATTGGTGGCAACCCTGTTCCAGAATTTCACTAAGCAGATAACACAGTCCTCCTTTCGAACAGCGTAAGGGGAATAGAAAATTTAATCATGTCTCCCCAAAAGCACAGTGAAAATCAAAACCAATTCTTTAATTTAAATAAAACAAAAATAATGTCACAGACAAACCTGGCTGTCGCCCAACAATAACAATAAATGATGAAAAAATTGAAAATTTACCAACTTTGAATATTTAGGCTCTATAATAAATAGTAATGCATATTGTTTGACAGAAATCAAAAGGATGATGGCTATAGCAATGCAAAGATTGAACAGCATTTAAAGGCTACGGTTAAGCAGCCGCAAGGAAATCACAATTAAAATCTTTAGAGCATGCATCTTCCCTGTATCAACATACAGATGTGAGTCGTGGACTGTATCAACATACAGATGTGAGTCGTGGACTGCATCAACATACAGATGTGAGTCGTGGACTGCATCAACATACGGATGTGAGTCGTGGACTGCATCAACATACAGATGTGAGTCGTGGACTGCATCAACATACGGATGTGAGTCGTGGACTGCATCAACATACAGATGTGAGTCGTGGACTGCATCAACATACAGATGTGAGTCGTGGACTGTATCAACATACGGATGTGAGTCGTGGACTGCATCAACATACAGATGTGAGTCGTGGACTGTATCAACATACGGATGTGAGTCGTGGACTGCATCAACATACGGATGTGAGTCGTGGACTGCATCAACATACAGATGTGAGTCCCAGTCCTTAAGAAAAAAAAATGAGAGAGTTTTGAGCTGAAATGCTGTAGAAAGATTCTCAGAATATCATGGACAAAGAAGTGTTATTAAAATACTGAAATTATAAAAGACATGAACATCAAGTAAGATTGGCTAATAAACAGCATCTTGTCTCGGAACCTGAAATATTTTTGTCATATCAAGCGCCATGGCGAATTGGAAAAAAATAATAGCTGAAAGCCTGGTATCGGTACGGATATAAGTGACTACTTGAATTTGAAAGTATACGAGGCGGGAGAGTTGGCGAGAGGCCGAGTTTCTTTCAGGCAAACCGTGATGATAGCAACGTTCTACAAAGGACCAGCTAAATGATGATGACGATTAATGATTGAAGAAAGAAAAGCAAAAAGGCAAACTTAAACAAAAGCAAAACAAGAGCTGTTAAAACTTGAGCTAGGGGAAAATGCATAGAAGCTAATAAAGAAGCTTGAAGGAGAATAAGGGGAGACAAACGGAAATATCAGATGACCTAGCACAAAAAGAGTAGACGGCAGAAGCAAAAGGAAATAACGTAGACCTTTACAATAACACAAGGAAATTATCAGGTAAATATAGCCAGCCAACTGGATCAATCAAAAATAGTCAAGAAAAGGTGCTCACTAACACTAAAGATCAAATGGACAGAAGATCTGAAAAGTTTGAAATACTAATGAATAGACCAGCCCGAGAGGTTCTTCCAGCACGTAGACACTAGTTTACTGTGGATGATTTACTGTGATTTGTTTACTGTAGATGATTCTTTGCGGATGATTTACTTTGATTGGTTTACTGAAGATTATTCTTTGCGGATGATTTACTGCGATTGGTTTACTGTAGATGATTCTTTGTGGATGATTTACTTTGATTGGTTTACTGTAGATGATTCTTTGTGGATGAATTACTGATTGGTTTACTGAAGATGATTTTGTGTGTGGATGGTTCACTATTAATGCTTTTACATCGGATAAGTCACGAGAAACGAGGTTAATACAAGCTCGTGAAAGCAATATTTGAATTGTTTTTTAGAAGAGCAAGACATATTTAGCTACTGCCTACCATTATCCCTTTTTGTGATAAAAACATTTTGCAATAATTATGTTTGCTTTTATATGTAACACTAGGCGACTTTTTGTGGTCTGTTTCATTTTTGAATTAACCAGACAAGTTAATGTGACTGATTTGTATAGACGCACACGTATGCCTTCTGACTGTTGTACATTCCATTGAATGAATGTATTTTTGTGTTTTTATATTTTATCAGATTATTTTATATTATATCTAGCAGACAGAGTTCATTTAGAATAAATTAAATTTTCCATCTTGTGATTTTGTTTGGGCTTGACATAGTTAGCTGTCTAATTATGCTGTCTATGTGTTATCACAATCGACATCGCTGCACATGCCTGCTCAGTCCTTCGATGCAGCAGCCACTCTAAGGCACATCCACTGATGTCCCCCATAAAGAGTTTATTACAATATCTAATTTGTCTTATTGAATTACATGTTCCCGTCTTTGGATACTCTGGTAACAGCAGTCATGGTGGCTTGGAGAGAAAAGATATGGAGGGTATAGTTTCCAGAAAACGAATGTATGTTGTTTTCTGTTGAGTTTGCTGATTGGGTCTTGTGGATGTTTACTGTTGGTTTGTTGTTTCTCCACAATTCTTTGTACCGTCCCTTGAAAAGTAATTTGATTACTGGCAAAGACAATGAATACGTGTGTTGTTTATCCTTTGTTCCATGTTTTGCGAGTCTTTCCGCTAACTCATTTCCTAGCATGCCTCAGTGAGCAGGGATCCATTGGAGAACTATTTGACTTTTTTTCTGAGAGTCTGCTTAGCTGGCAGGTCGGTTCTCTCTCCATGTTGTCTCCTGGACACATCTGAGTGGCCGGTAGGATTGACATGCAGTCACAGTGGAAAACAGTTTTCTTTCCTCAAGCACGTTGGTTGCATCAATAATCGCTTGTTGATCTGCCCTAAAGTTTGTTGAGAGTTTCCCGGAGGCACATGTGGTCACATCTTGCAGCATGATGACCGAACCAACTCCTCCATTTTATTCTGCTGCCTCCGATGATCCAGCGGGTTAACGTGTGTCCATTCGGGTTTTGTGTAAGAGTTGTAGACACGCTCAAGGGTCTTTGCATGCAGTACTAGCTCACATTCTTCAGCCTTTCTGTCTGTGCCTGGAATTGATATTGTGACTGTATAGTTAGGCTGTAGATCTATGATGTATGCCTGGATCATTTCCCACTTTAAAGGATCTTTAGAAGGGATGTCACTGTTCTTTGGTGTAGGGTAATTTTATTGATGGTGAAAGCTTTGTCTTTTCAGTTAGGTTTTTTTTTATTTTTTTTTGCGATTTTGCGCATGCGGTTTCTTGTTCAGGCGTTTAATTTTTTTGTTTTTTGTTTTGTTTTATTATGTTGAAAACCTTTTCTTCCTTATAATGGCTCAAGCTTTGGAAGCCAGAGGTTGCCTCCAGCTCCTGCTGTGTCCATAGAAGCTTAGCCCCAACTAGAGGAATGACAAGAGTCCAGAAGTTGACGAACAACCAGAACTTTTCGCCGGAGTTTTAAGCTGGTGAACGTGAAGAAGAAGAAGAAGAAGAAGAAGAAGAAGCGTCTTGAGATAAATGAACCCACAAAGAGAACAGACTACTCCAGAGGAGATAATCCACATTGCGTGGCACGTCATAAGAGGTTGGGGGGGGGGGGGGGGGGTCTGGAGTGCATTGTGATTACAAAGATGTTGCAGTAAGAGAGGCAGGATAGGACCATAAGAAAACATGCTGGTTAGTTTCACATAATAGCATGGAAGAATGGAAAACGTCTGTATTTGACACGGCTGACTGCGCATTAGACAGATGGTTCTGCTCAGATGTAATGACCAACACACCGAGACTCAGAATGGCATTTACAGATCGTCGCTGTCTTCTCAGCAAGCTCTAGCCATTTCTCCAGCCCTATGGGCTTTCATAGCATGTGTATTTTCAACGGCTTGTATCTAACTTCGCGGAAATTTGCCTCTGTCTCGTTTTCCGGAAACTGCACTCTTTAGACACCATTCTTTCCAGACACCATTCTCTCCAGACACCATTCTCTCCAGACACCATAACGCTGAACAGGACGGAAATACCCCAGCTTACGGGACAGGATGCTGTCTGTGAGCCAGTTTTCCTCGATGTTCAGATCATGTAGGATGTCAGAGCTTTTCTTCTCCTTGGTCCTTGGTATTCTAAACATTTTAACTAACACAACACAGCACAACCCAACACAGCACAACCCAACACAGCACAACACTGCACAGCACAACACAACACAACACAGCACAACTGTATAAGAGAACTGCGAAGACTTTTCGATGCTTAAAACATTATCAAAATAGAGACCAGTCAACGGGCACACACACACACGTCAGAGACGTGTTCTAAAGACTAGGTCATGTTACAGT